TCTTATTCGGTTCCACCGCTGAAAACCGACCGACCATATGCTTTCCTTTGTATGTGAAAGTCTTTCTTTGAGCTGTTTTCGGGCGGTGATTTGAACGTTTTTAAAAATAGAGTTTTAGTTTTGATAACTTTTTCCAGCGGATTTGAATGCAGCCAATCACCTGCTGCAGCACATAATCGATGAGACACGCACAACGTGACTCAACACTAATGTCACCTGTGTGAAGTAAGAAATCATGGAGTTTTCATCTTGCAAGCAGAGACTCACATGTTAGATTTACATGTCTTTGTTTTTGCACATTCTCATACAACCACTTTATAAACCAGAGGTCAGAGCTTCATCCATTAGGACTTTCAGCATCGCACCCAGAATCTCGGAAATCCTCATAGATGGCGAAACAAGCCGTTTCCAGTAATTTGACAGATAGCTGTCAGATAGTGAGAAGAAAGGTGGTTTGGGCTGCTCCCTTATTTCCCAAAAGATCACCATAGCGGATGGATCCGGGCGCTAAGCTTGTAACTGGGAGCAGCTAAGGTTGGATTTGTGTCTCCTGTTAGTGACAAACCAGGGACGTTCACAAATAACCACTATAATACAGATATAATACAATACAAACGCTGTCATAACACAGTTCATCCGGTTGAGCGGAGCCACTGCTTACAAAACAGAGAACGTGGCGGTGTCGTAACAAGGTGTGGAGTGTTTTGTAAAGTAGATTGTGTCGGTCCACCCTCTGCTGCTATAACAGCTTCAGCTCTCTTGGAAGGCTTTCAACAAGGTTTAGGAGTGTGTTTATAGGAACTTTTGACCATTCTTCCAGAAGCGTATTTGTGAAATCAGACCCTAGGTCAGATTTATGGAAAAGAAAAGACAAGCTGCTTGGCTCTGATGACCCATATGACATGTTCTCATCAGTGGGGGAGGCAGAAAGACAATAAACAAGATCCAGGAAAACGTGCTAAACATTACGTGGCCGAGTGTGTCCATGTGTGTCTACTAAGGCACTCTATTGTACAGTAAAACAATATATTAAGTTTATTCTTTGATCAAATGGGCAGAAAAACAAACCAACCAACATGTCATGACTGTGCATCTTTTGATCTCCTCAGAGTCTTATGGACAGGTGTCTCCTGAGTTCTGGAATTATGTTGTATGGAAAACTGAAAACTGGTAACTTATTTTTTAGATACACATACAATTTACAATTACTGTATTTTTTTTAAAGCTCCATTTTCCATATAGGATTGTTGCATCAGTCAATATGAATAAATGGCTCTTCTGAATGTTTGTAAATGCAGATATGAGCTCACAGCAGTTTTGCTTGTTTTCAGCAGAGCTCATTCACCTGCAAGATAAAAGCTGGTGCTTGCGTCCTCTGTTCGGTAGTGTTAGTACTACACAAATAGGTGACAGTGGTTCTTTTCACACATACAGGATTTCAAGAAGAGCACATATAACGTTCATGGTGTGATTTTCAAGTCTTCAAACTCTGAGCCAGTCTGTTGAGCTCCTGTGACAGAGCGGTGACTGTATCCAGGATCTTCTGTTTGTCCTTCTCCTCCAATCGAGCTTCACATCGCTGCGCGAATTTATCGGGGTGCCACAGCGCTTGCTGCTTTCGAAGCGCTTTGCGAAACGCCGGTACGTCCTTTCGGTCCACACCATGCAGCATGACCTCGATCATCTCCTGGACCGTACCTCTCGGAGCCGGCCAGGGGATGTCACCGAAGCTCAGCTTCGTGCTGCCTGCCGAGGCGCCACCCTGAAAGGTCGCCGCGCACCTCTCATCGTACTGCTGCTTCTTGCCACGCTGAGTCTCCTCCTCTTTGCGAGCTGCACGAGCCAGATATTCCTCGTGCTCCTTCTGCAGCCTTTTGTGCAGCTCCTTGCGGCTTCGCTCTTCTTCCTCCATCTCTCGTTTACTCTTGCTTCTTTTCCACCCAGAAGATGAGGCCGCGAGTCTCTGGGCCTGGGTGTGTTTTTTATCATAGAATTCCTTCCGGATGCGATCAGCCCAGTCCCCAAAGTCTTCTTCGTCATCATCAACGGGAAGAAAGTCATCAGCTGTGAAACAAATACAGCAGTGTTATCAAGCAGAGAGAGAGAGTTAAACTCAGATTCATCTGTGATGTTTAGGATTTACCATCATATACTCCAAAGGTTTCATAAAATTCATCCTCGCATTCGTCAAACAGCTTCTCCAGGAATTCCTTCTCAGGGTCTGCTTCACGTGGATGGCTCATGTTTTCTTCAGCCTGCGATAAATGTCAGGGGAAAAGTGTAAATATTACTGAAGACGCAGGAAATCAATGTGACATGGGTAATCCAACACTGCAGAGCTGAGCTCAGTTTATTCTAGCTCATCACCAATTCATCAGTAATGAGGTCTGGCTGTGCTGAGCCAGAAACCCTCACACACTCACCCTGCATTTCCTCAAATCTAATCTTAGGGTAATGTTATGAACCATGTAGCTTTGAGCTATTTATAATCCCATGACTCAAACAAATTCCATGACAACACCTCCTCTGTGATCTTCTTTTCCTCCTGCATGGCAGCTCCATACTAAACATCTTTAGTCCAGTGTATCCACCATCTCTCCTCTGAACATGTCCAAAACATCTCAGCCATGCTTCTCTAACTTTGTCTCCAAAAAAAACTGTGGAGCAAAGAGGCTGTGGAGGAGCTTCGCACGTGTTTGGAG